TTTCAAGATGTGGTGTGTCACACTCCACCATCTGTCTTACCACCTGATTGAGGTGTACGAGTTAAAATTGACTTAGTTCCAGAAGCTAGATACTGCGTAACGCAGCAGGAGCCTTTGCCTGAAATAACTGTGACGTCATTATAGAGGTCTTTCGTGCTAAGCACGCGGCTGGAGGGTTTCCTAAAAGTAAATCTCCCCATTCGACACCGACATTTTGTGTCAAGAAATTGCTAGTAGGGCATTATGCATGCTTATAATACCCTTTAATGCAGCCACTATACCGGCGCAGACGCCCATTTCTAGGAAGGATGCTCTTTAGAACAATGTGGTAGGATGTACATTGTATAGTGCACTCGACTTAGTCGATGGTTATTACCAGCTGCTCATGCGAGCAAGTGATATTCCGCTAAAAGCGGTGAGTACTCCGAGCGGTATGCTATGAGAGTGCCTCTTTATGCCACAAGGGATGTCTAACGCCCCGGCTACGTTTAACCGGCTGGTAACGCAACTATTCGGACCTCATCGAGGCTATGCACAAACGTACTTTGATGACATTTTTGTCAATAGTCGTGCAATGAATGGGCGATCAGATGTGGATAACCACATTGATCATTTACGAGCGGTGCTCGATTGTATGCGGACGAATAAGTTGTACGCTAATGCATCTAAGTGCATCTTTGGTGCAGAAGAAATTCCCTTTCCAGGGTGCTTCGTTAAGAAGCGAGGCCTTCGAGCGGACCTCGCTAAAGTAAAGGCCATAGCCAATTGACCTGTTCCCAAGAACCAAAAGGACTTACTTAAGTGGTTTGACCTTGCCAATTACTTGCCTAAGTATAGTGCGAATTGAGAAGACATGGCAAGGGTTTATCTAACCTCCTAAAAAAGGAGTGTGTATTGGTGTTGGGGTAATGCTGAGCATGATCCGATGAAGCGGTTGAGGAGAGTCTCCTGCATGCGCCAATATTGGCTTTGCCCGATCCTGATCGGGCCTTCAGTGTCGTTTGTGACGCATCTGACTTTTCCATTGACAGTGCTCTGGTGCAAACAGAGATGGACGTGAGCGCGTCATTGCGTTTGAGTCTCGCCAGCTTATAGCTGCTGATAAGATGTATCCAGTTCATGACAAAGGCTACTTGCTATGAAGTATGCTCTAGTCAAATTTAGAGTACATGTGCTTGGCTTAAAGCCTTTTGTGATATATACAGATCATGCATCATTGCGCACTGCGACACAGCCGCCGCATCTCTCTCAGAGAATGGCTCGTTGGCTTTCCTTCTTTGCCGAATATAACTTCGAGGTGAAGTACAAGCCAGGTAAGCAAAATGCTTTGGCTGATGCGCTATCGCGTCGACCTGACTATGAGCTTGCTCATGTTACGACTCTGTCGTCATCCATTGTGGAGCTAATCCGTGCGGTATACGCCAGGGATGATCAGTGTAGCTTTGCTACGTGCTCTTGGGAGCGATGAGTTTAAGGACTCGGATACAGAATTGTCGGTACGTTTACGTGCGAGGCTACATCGATATTCCATCGATAATGGCCTGTTGTGCTATCACACGGATATTAAGGATAACCCTCGTATCGCTGTACCTCATGATAAGGAATTAAAGTATCGAATCCTCTATGAGGCACATGATACTACTTCAAGTGGTCATCTCGGTCGTGAGAAGACTTATAGCTCGGTGAGCCAAAGTTATTGGTGGCCTTAACTTTATAAGTCGGTGAGCACCTATATGCGCCCGTGCGAAACTTGCCAACGGGTTAAACCTCAGCACATGCGGCGGCGCCGCTGGCTAGTTTGCCAGTACCCACTGGTTGTTGGGAGTCCATGAGCATGGATTTTGTGTTTGGCCTACCGGAAGATTTGGAAGGAAACACTGGTAGTGTGGTCTTTATTGACCCATTAGGCAAGATGGCTCACTTAGCGGCTGTGCCGGATAGCATCGATGCAGAAGGTACAGAAAAGCTTTTTATTGATCGTGTGTTTCGCCAACATGGCTTGCCTGTGGCAATTGTCTCTGCTAGAGACCCCGCTTCACTGGAAAGTTTTGAAGGTCTAACTTCAAGGTGCTGGGCACTCGGTTGGACATGTCCACAGCGGATTATCCGCATACCGATGGATAAATTGAGCGTGTTAACAGTAGTATCAATGACTTTTGCGCAGGGTTTGCGCTGATACGCCTAGGCGTTGGAGCTCAATGCTCCCTGTTGTTGAGTTTGCGTTGAATAACGCTGTGCATTCCTCTTCAGGCTTTACTCCGTTCTATTTAAACGGTCTAAATCCTTCTCGCGTTCCGTTAACGCTATCACTACGTGATTCAGGGCTGAATGGGGGAGAGGTTGCCGATAGGCTTGCTGATATCAGCCCTGCTACCGTTCAAAACTAGGTAGGCGAGTTTTCTCGCAACGCGATTAAATGTCTTAGGACATGTGCGTGACGCAATGGCTGATAGCCAAGATACCCAAAAACAACAAGCTGATGCCAAAGGCAGAAATTGTATTGAACGTTATGAGGTCGAAGACCAAGTATTACTCAATGCTAAAAATCTACCTGCAAATGCAGTGTCTGCTGTATTTAAGACAGAGTTGCGTCCACGCTTTATTGGACCGTTTACGGTCACTGTCAAGAAGGAAATTGCGTATACGCTAAACCTTCCGCGAAAATTGCGCACACATCCAGTGTTCTACGTAGGCTTACTGAAGCCGTACCGGGATCCTTCCCATGTGAACTTGGAGACGCTTGCGTCGAGGACAAGGGCACTGCCCCGGATTGCTGTAGGCGAATCGGCAAGTCCAACTGAGCCTCACTCCGAGTTCGAGCTTGCTCTATCGCCTGAAGGCAGCTTTGCATCGCATCCAGCATGCACTGGTCTTACCCAATGTCTCTTGAAGACCCTTCACTTCGAGAACCAATTTCTCGTGGGCTTCCACCGGTACACCGGCCGCCACCGACTTTGCTCGATGAGCATGGGTGTCGTCAATATCATGTAGAGAGACTACTGAAACGACCTTGTCGTCAGGGCCAATACCGGTATCTTGTAAAGTGGCGTGGGTACCCTGAGTCTGAAAACTCATGGGAGTTTGAGGTACCCCTTCGGCAAGACTGCCTTTATGCTTTGGATGCTTTTAAACATCTTGGTCATGGTCATCTCGAGACCGAGGCCGTTACCCACCACTAATGGTGTGGGTTGGCGGGTTGTTGGCCACAGACTGACCAGCACTCGCGGCTACCTTAGTAGCCGAAGCATAGCGCGTGCGCTTGCGCAATTGGCCTCTGGCCTTAAGCTTGGCATAATCATACTGAAGCTTGCGTTTGAGACGCACGTCAGCCGCATGGGCACTAGCCCTAAAACAAACACGTTGCTGAGGCGACGCACATGGTGCACCCAGTGAACAAAGGCATCGTCTTCTTCGCTCACTGTTTCGCATGAGAACAAAAGAATGGGTATACCCTTGATTGGTGAAATTGGTGTACCACGTGCTTGCATGTCAAGGTGTGCCTTGTATTGACTTTGAGTCGTTAGATGCGGCTCCAGGTACCTCTTAAGTAGTGCCTGGCAGCTTACCACCTCCTCAGGAGTCTTAGGCTCATGGCCAATGACCCACGTTGCCAATGTTTGGCCGGCCGCTTAACGCAGACGTTCCTCCACACTGGAAGGAGTGAACACATAGTCACGCTGGCGTTCAAGGGTTGCAACCATTTGTACATGACGCTAAGCGTTTTCTTCTTGTTGGACAAGCAATTTTTGTTGCTCATCTAGCGGGTTCGTGATGATTGTTTTATCAGAATTAGATGCTATATGCTGCGCTAGTGGCGCGCTCGCATCTCCACGTTCAAAGAACGGATTTGGGGTGTTCAAAGGTTGTGCCTCAGGCATCAGTGAGTCGGACATTGTCCCTGTATCGCCTTGGACACTGGTATCGCTACCATATTATACTGTCTCCATTATTCCGAGGTAGTCATACAGAGTCTTTGACTCGTTTGGTGATGAGGACATCGTGCTAGAGCGTTCGTTACCGTAAAATTTATCGTACGCACACTGTTCTCGCTTAGGAACACAAGTTCGATAGACGTTTTGATAAACGTCAGTCTGGTGGGGGAGGGTATATCGGGGTTGCAAGAAATTATGGTACTTTGTACCAGGGGTGTTACACACCTGAGGTTATCCCTTTGTGAAGGTGATATCGAATATCTTATTGGTTTGAAGGGGCTGACGAGTGTCAGCCATTAGGTACGAAAGATCTTTGAGTAGGATTAAGATATTATACAGGCTTTAACAAAAAAAAATCAGTTCTTATTTTGATCTAAGGGACACGTGGCTTGAGAGCCGTCTTGATCGTTGATCACTATTTACTGATCACTTAGATTAGCAATCTATCCTTGAGGTAGCTACTCTTAAGAACTAAGTGCTGTCGATTCACTGAATCGTTAGGTACCTTGGAACAGGGATATGAAGCTGTAAAGCTTGTTGACTCGTAAAGTCGTTAGTTTTTTAAAACTAAGTTGCTCGTAAATCGTTAAGTCTTCCTCTGACTTAAAAATCTGTGTAGCTCCGCTATATAAGCTATCAACATAACTCTAATCTTTATCAAACTATATTAAACTACGTCGTCGTATGACGACAACCTGCTCACCACTCATTGCGCGCGTCTAGCAGCGATTGGTGGTATTCTATGGTTGATATGTCTTATATCAACCAATCTTGGAGCAGCGCCCCAATATTATTCAAAAGGAGATAATATTCCATCAATATTACCCATCGTGGATAATATTGGTAGAATATTGTCATGCTAGACAATGTTCCTATTGACACCATTTTATAACAATGTCATGTATCGGCTACCCCGTTACATCACCCCCCCCCCTTTACCATCAATCACCCGTTAATTAAATTATAATTGATTGGGACAGGGTGACCGCCCCTATAGCACTCTGGGATAGGAAGCACATGGTGGTCAAATTTCATTCATTTTTAAATCCAACGTATGGTTTTAAACCCATGCCAGTTGCTGCTGCAGCAGCAAGAAAGGCGGCTGCACGCATACGTGCAGCCGGGGAAATTACCTCACACACCTCACCAGCTGGTGATTCGTCTCTTGCTGCTTTGAACACTTCACGTGGTGAGTCATCACGTGCGACAGGTACATCCGCTGCGTCTGCAGCGGTTACCGCGAATCATAATCCAGATGAGTCTGGAACAGAGCTCAGCTATTCTGGCGAGTTGGATGATGTATCCGACTCGGAAGCGACACCTCACGCATCTGGATCACCCGGGGCGGACACTGCAAGAGCCAAGTTGACTGGATCTGGTCAACGTGGCGGTATCATGTCCGTGACCTTCGGATCGAGCGATTGTTTCGACGAATCTCTGCCTTACGCAAGTCCATCCAACGATAGGACGCGTGGGGATGGTGGTGATGCACCTATGCATTGCCACGTAAGCAGCAAATCGAGGGATCGAGCTGCCACTGGTGCCAGTGCTCATGCTGGCACCAATCAAGAGTCCAAGGGCTAAAATGTCCTGCGGCACGCTCCTCAAGTGGAGTCTCCGTGGATGCTGCCATCTAGAGAGTTAGACCGGTTGGTCGGCACGACTACCGAACGGGATCGAATACCGTTGTTCAATTGCAGGAAAATTGCCCACCTAGATTCAGAACGGAAACTATCCGTACTGAGGGGAAACCTTCACCGATGCGTTTCTCAAACATCGGTGGTACAATGGCAGCCATGTTCAAGACGGCAAGGCCTTGGTGCAAGTATGGATCGCCTTCATCCATAGCATAGAGTGCATTGGTCGTGAGTCCTGGCTCGCCAAACTTGATGCTGCTCGCATCAGGTTTAAGAAACGCAACCCAGTCGGGCGCGATACAAGTTGAACCGACTGTCAAGAGAGGCAGGGTCACTCTTGTCTCTCGTGGGGTGATTCGTGTCCAAGTCGTCTGGACAACCCGAATCGTTTTCCTAGGGAGGCTTACCTCCCTAATGTTCCCCTATTGGAGGGCACGCATCTCTTCCGAGATGGCCGAAGGGATTGACACCTTGCAATCCCTGTACTCGCGTTCGGGGAGGTCTTTTTCCGACGGCCCTTCTTCGAACGTAGCGGGTTGGTCTTGTCATACTGCTTGACGATACCCAGGACATCAACAATCAGCTGGGCACGAGGCTCCCAGCTGTCCCACGCCGGTGGATAGCCACGCCAGCGGACGAGGTAACTCGTCCGGACGCCATTCACGTCGCGATAAATCATAATACGCTCCACCGGAAAGCATCGACCACCGCCAGAGTCCACTAAAGGATGTGGTGGTGGCGAGAATACCTGATCCGGCTCGAGGGTCGGATCAGCTTGATGTTCAGGAACTGAACCGTGTAATTAATCAGTTACGCGATGAACTGGATCATGAGCGGACTCAGCGTTACGAGCTCCATGACCTTGTAAAGGATAATTACAATTCCTTAGCGCACGATCGCTCAAACGATCGTGACGAGCTGACTGCCTCTCTTCAGGACATCTCTCAGCTGCGTGAGCAGGTAGCTTCGGTAGTCGACCAGACTGGCTCGTTGAAATGGGACCACTTGAAGGTGGTCTCGGCCCTTGAACGAAGAGGTGTTCTTCGCCTCTCGAAACGGACTCGTACTGACAGTACGGGCGGAGACGACCGACGGAAAACATAGGATGCGTACGCATCCTACGAGGCAGTTCAATCATGTATGCGTTGCCCATTCGACGCAACACACGAAACGGATCGATATACTTGGGCAGTAATTTTACTGCTGACCACGTTTGTCACTGCGTGTTTCGGTAAGTTTACTGTAGACAGTAAAATTAAATCTCCTTCATCAAATGAAACAACATTTGCTCTTCCATGTTTGTCTGCGTTTCTTCTTTGCTTGTTTATTGCATCTGCTATTGAGTCTTGAACGAAGCGGACAACCGCTTTGCGAGTCAGCAGAAATTCCTCTGCTGATTCATCCTTATTAGCAGCAGTGTGCTTCGTGTGCACTGCTGAAAGAACGTTGTCTTCACCAGTGAGGGCGTCATCTTCCTCACTGTGGCAGCCATTGGCGATGCTGAAGATACCAGCATCGTCGTCATCATCATCATCGACATCGATCGCATCTACATCGGCATCCATCACGTCGACACCATTGTCGACGGGTGATTAGAAAGAACAGATCGGTTTTTGTTCGAGCGAGTCCGCCCCCCCTTAGACTAGCATCACACTCCAAGAAGGTGGGTAGTTGTGGATGGCGTAGGCCATTCACGAAGAACGGTGTATGCGTTGTCGACGTGTGCACCGAGCTGTTGACGGCAAATTTCGCCATCGGCAAGAACTCACTCCAACTCGTAAACGAGTGGACATACCCTCGAAGTATCTGTTCGAGGACGCGGTTGATGCGTTCCGTCTGACCATCTGTTTCTTGATGGTCAGAAGTCGACATCGTCAAACGCTTTCCTAGTGAACGGAACACGGATTGCCAGAACTCCGCTGTAAAGCGGAAGTCCCTATCAAACACAAGTTCACAAGGTAACCCATGAAGTCGGAAGATAGTATCGATGAAGATACGAGCACAGCCCTGAGCTGTGATTGACTCCGGTACAGCAACAAGATGTACCATCTTGCTGAACCGATCAACAAACACAAGAATACCAGTATTATTGTGAGCGTCTTTGAGAAATCCAAAGACGAAGTCCATCGATACGAACTTTCAGCACTCTGCCGGAATCGGTAGAGGCTGCAAGGGTGCAAAATACTAGACTTCACCCGTTGGCAAACTTCGCAAGCGCAAATTTATTTGCGCACAAACTCATACTGGAGAGGCCAGCAGAAGTCGCTGCTCACCGTGAGGTAAGTCTTATATCTACCGCGATGTCCACTTGTTGGGCCATTGTGACACTCATACAGGATGCACAATCGCAAACCATCATGAGAGAAAACGACGACACGAGGTGTGTCGCCGATGACTGCTGTATACTACAGCAGTACATCACGAACCGAATACCGTTCGGTTGAAGAGCGGTATTGAGACAACAAGCTTTTCAAAGCTTGACTGCATGGATTAGAGAAGTAATCCATCAACCGCAGAAGAGACTCATCTTCTGCGTATGTCTTCCACACGTCGTCGAGCACATTCGACGACGGAACACAGTATTGAAACAGTGAAATCACCCCTACTGTTGGGTTGAGCAGTCGGCTCGAAATAGGGCCGACGCGAAAGAGCATCAGCGACGACATTAAGTCGTCCTGGTTTATACTCGACGAAGAAGTTGTATTCCGCGAAGAAAGACATCCACCTCTCCATCCGTTGCGAGAGGTGCAGACTGTTTACGGCCGTACGTAACGACGCTTGGTCGGTATAAACGATGAAGGGCCTATCTCCTAAGATATATACCCAGAAGTTAGCCAGTGCATATTTCGTGGCAGAGAGTAGTTCCTTTTCATGCAATGGGTAATTACACTCAGCTGCTTGCAGCTGAATCGATTGCTAACAGACGACGCGCTCAGCGCCGTCTGAGTCGTGCATCAACGCGCAGCCGATTGCAAAATTGCTGGCATCACAGACCACATGGAGTGGTCCGTCCTGGTCTGCAATTGCCAACAAAGGCGGTTGTATCAATCTTTTCTTGATACCTTCGAAGGAGTGCTGACACTCATCACTCCATGACCACCTCTCGTTTTTCTTTAACAGGCGAGATAGATATATGGTCATCTCGGCGTAGTTGCGCGAGTACTTGTACAAGTACGCCGCTAAGCCAATGAACTTTCAAAGTCCCTTGACGTCGACTAGCACAGGTCAGTCGCTAATTGCCTTGATCTTTTCGGGATCAGGGCGTACACCGTTTTCTTACTCATGATGCAGCCAAGAAGTGTTATTTCAGTCGCTGCGAGTATACACTTCTTGAGGTTCGCGAGCAACTTATTCTCTCGCATAAGCGTAAGAGCCTTCCAGACGTGGATTCTATGAACCTCCACGTCCTTCTTTCCATCCGTAGCCCGGCTATGAACGAAGACATCGTCGAAGTAATTCGGTGCGAAACCGCGCACCGATCGCAATAGATTCGTAACACATTTGTTAAACGTTGCGGGGGCATTACTAAGCCCCTATGGAATCACTAGCCACTCCCAAAGCATATCCCTGGGGGTGCTCACTGCTGTGTACGGGATGTTCCGTTCACTCATGATGATCTGGAAAAGTCCATCCATCAGATCCATGGACGAAAAGATGTTACTTTTTGCCATACCACCAATGATGACGTCCTTCCTTGGTATCGGCGTCCGAGCCGGTACCGTTGTAGCGTTCAGTTTGTTGAACGCGTGCACTATCCGCCACCCTCCTGTGGCATTTCGCACACTTTGGGAGAGCTGTGCGGGGATGTTAGCTAAGCGATAGGCACAGAATCTGTCAATCCTTGTGACCTGTTCACGAGGCAGTGGCCACTGCTTCATGACACAGTATTTCGAACCAGGTTTCAGTTCGATCTCGTGCCGAGTGCCTTTATCCTTGGGCAACTCGCATTGTACGAATTCAGGGAAAGCATCCCTGAATTTGACCAAATCCTTATGCAAATGATTTGTATCCATAGACTTTAAAGTTTGAGATGTGTATCACTCAATCCGGTTCTTCTCATCGACGAAACTTTTTTCCATCGATGGGCTACTGAGAACCCGTTCTTTCTCAGTAAACACTTGTGCCGAACGAATATCGGCAACGTACGCGTCTTTTGTAATGAGTACGCAGATCTGCTTGATCTTTTCACTACGCAGATCTCGCAAAAATCTTTTCAATTTTAGCTTTGGCAACTTGATTACCTCCGAAGCTGGCTTCAGAGGTGTAACAAGATCAATTGTATAAGCGCTTACACTTGATCCGTCATTCACCAATACATTCACTATCTCCGTGCTTTCCTGGGAAAACACCCGCAGGTGGTTGGGGATCCACACCCTCAACATAACTTTCTCGGGAGTTATAACTCTAACGAACTTTCTTCCAGTACGTATACTGACTGTGGGTGCACTACCGCAGTCACGTCCTCTTCTATCGACTCTCTTTCAGTCGATCGGGCTCGATCTACGATCGACTCTCTGATAGTTGATCTCGCTTCAACATTTGTTCATCCTGAACAACACTCTTTCCTCTTATCGGATGCAATGTTCTTAGTGTGCATCCGCGCTCCAGTACACCCGATCTTTTCGAGTGGTGAATCTTCGGCACCGCCTGAGTCCCTACACAGGTGCCGGAAGCTGGTTCCTTAGTGTATTGGCCTTCTACACTGTGATCTTGTGCAATCGTACTAACGCCCGTACCACAAGTAAGGTTATCGCACTCATTAGTAGTAGATCCACACGCTTGTGGACTCTCCAAGACTAATGCATCCACACGCTTGTATACTCTCCAAGATTACGGGTGAGTGCGATGGCCTCACTTGTGGTACGGTCCATGGATCTGATGGATGGACTTTTCCAGATCATCATGAGTGAACGGAACATCCCGTACACAGCAGTGAGCACCCCAGGGGTATGCTTTGGGAGTGGCTAGTGATTCCATAGGGGCTTAGTAATGCCCCCGCAACGTTTAACAAATGTGTTACGAATCTATTGCGATCGGTGCGCGGTTTCGCACCGAATTACTTCGACGATGTCTTCGTTCATAGCCAGGCTACGGATGGAAAGAAGGACGTGGAGGTTCATAGAATCCACGTCTGGAAGGCTCTTACGCTTATGCGAGAGAATAAGTTGCTCGCGAACCTCAAGAAGTGTATACTCGCAGCGACTGAAATAACACTTCTTGGCTGCATCATGGGTAAAAAAACGGTGTACGCCCTGATCCCGAAAAGATCAAGGCAATTAGCGACTGGCCTGTGCTAGTCGACGTCAAGGGACTTTGAAAGTTCATTGGCTTAGCGGCGTACTTGTACAAGTACTCGCGCAACTACGCCGAGATGACCATATATCTATCTCGCCTGTTAAAGAAAAACGAGAGGTGGTCATGGAGTGATGAGTGTCAGCACTCCTTCGAAGGTATCAAGAAAAGATTGATACAACCGCCTTTGTTGGCAATTGCAGACCAGGACGGACCACTCCATGTGGTCTGTGATGCCAGCAATTTTGCAATCGGCTGCGCGTTGATGCACGACTCAGACGGCGCTGAGCGCGTCGTCTGTTAGCAATCGATTCAGCTGCAAGCAGCTGAGTGTAATTACCCATTGCATGAAAAGGAACTACTCTCTGCCACGAAATATGCACTGGC